TTTTCGCAAACCAGCATGATCTAACTATAGTAACGGGGTTTTATGAGGTAAAAATAGGGGTTTCTCATTTTTGACCAAACACAAAATTTTACAATTTCTTTCCAAACCATTTTGTAGAGCTTAAAAAAACAAATAATTTAGTAGGCCTATTATAATGAAGCGTTATCATGCATCTAATAGTTACTGTATGGAGGAAATTCCAAAAAATTGTAAATTTTAAATAGCTATATTATTCTTATGGAGAATAATTCAACTGTTGTACCTACCGGTAGTTTGCTTGTTTTTGAACATATTTTGATCAAAGTGCTTTGTATATGGTTGAATATCTGAAAATACATTCATTTCTTACTAAACTACTAACATTTTAGGTAACCTACAACAAAAAACACTTTTTTACTCTCCCTGTTGCAGCAAACCTTAGTTCTCGTTTAACTAATTGAATTTAAATAGGTATTAGCCTAAATTTTATATTTTTAAGGAGACATTTTAGTGTAAATCCAATCAAGCAAATAGGCCTTTATAAGCCTACCTAGACCTAAAAAGGTAATGTATAACTTTCTTCTAGCTACTAGACCTGTGTCCTTAGTAGGCCTACTTAGGTTAAGTTAAACCCATTTTCAGGGGGACAGTTTCGCAGGGAACCTAGCCTACGATAAAATACCTAGCCTATAATTTTAGGCTATAAAATATCGTAATCAGTTAATTTCTAGGTGATGCAACTTACCTTTATCCATTTATCATGTAGGTCTAGGTCTCTTTCAATATTGAACAATTTATGCCTAACATGTTTTTTAAGGATACTCTTTACACTGTGTATCTTACTTTTTAGTTTATAATAGGTAGGCCTAACAACAAAGGTAAGAAAAGGTAGCATTTCTAAAAAAAACAACATCAATCTTTGGTGTATGATTTGTTTAAGAGATAAATTAAAAAAGACATTGGCTACGGTAAGTTAACTTTGATCTTTTTCATGAGTTTATAAAAAGGTACCTAACATAACTATAAATCGGTTAAATAATAACTTAACTATCGTATCAAATTTGAGTAAATCTTAAGATACCACATGATATAAATTTAAAAAAAAATAACAAAAATATTAACGAAGCATTTGGTTTTATTATCCTTAGTTGTTTTGTTATTAGGTGACCTAGGCCTATTTGTTTTGTTTCCTTTGGTAAATTATAGTCCTAGACAGTAGTTTAATTTATGAAATATAAACAAAAACCGAACTAACCATTAATCAATTTTATGTTAACATCCCCAGTCAAAAACATAACAAATACCACTGACGTTATAATTTATGATATACAAAAGTAGAGCTTATGCTATTTATATTTGATTTTTGGATAGATATATGCGGCATTAGAATTATTTCTAAAATAAAAGAGCATTACGCCCGTAGTACAAAATACCCCCGCCGCAGCAAACCTGCAGACTAAGCGAATTTCCATTTGACTGATTGGATTTACACTGAAATGTCTACTTAAAAATATAACATTTATTCTTGATTTATATAGAATTAGTTTAACAAGTACTTAGGTTTGCTGCATCAGGGAGGGTAAAACTGTTTTTTTTTTTTTTTTTTAATGTGAATTGTTAGTAAGAAATAAAAACATTTCCCAAATTCGATCAAAATATGTTCACAAACAAGCAAACTACAACAGTTTACTTATTCTCCATAAGAATAACATGGGAATTTTTAATTTACAATTTTTTGGAATTTTCTCCGTAACCATTAGGCGCATAATAACGCTTCAATATACTAAGTTATTTGTTTTTTGAAGCTCTACAAAATGGTTTGGAAAGAAATTGCTAAATTTTATGTTTTTTGGGTCAAAAATGGGAAAAACCTATTTTTACCCCATAAAACCCCCCGTAAACCCCCGTTCCCATAGTCCGATCATGCTGGATCGCGAACTCGTTCGAATAAACGTACGTTTACACGTTTGTACCAAATTTCATCAAAATCGGATCATTTTTGCTCGAGTTATCGTGCTGACGGACACACACACACACACACATATATATATATATATATATATATATATATATATATATATATATATATATATATATATATGAATTTGAACGGATGGTGTTTTTGGCCTCTAGGGACCTCAAAACGAAAAAAAAATCGGTCCCGCGTCCAGGTCTTACCATGAGTACTACGGTAATAGCTTATTCCCTATATGGGAAATTCGCTAAAAATCGCAGTTAGTCTGGCCACTGCCGCCGCACAAACTTGCGGCGCGCCGCGCTGCAGGGGCAGGGTGAGGGGCCAAAGACAGATTATATGTACATGGAATTGTCTTCTTCGTTCATTCTCATACGCGACTTCGGAGCGTACTCCTAGTATGGACAATGCTTATCTTTTTAGAATGGATAGTTTTTTCTTCGTATTTTTTGCTTGCTGAAACGAACCTTTTTCAATTTTCTACATCTACATTACTTAGTACTTAGTGCTTTGATTTACGATTTTCACACTATTTTCGATACAGAGAGGTTGAATTTTCACATTTTGTTACATACTAAAAATGTACCATTTATTTACTAAAACATACATTTATATAATCTTTTACTTAATGAAACGGCCATTTGTTAACTTTTTTTAGTTACCATGCTATACATTTTTGTCTCATTGTTTGTTTTGAAACTACTTTTACATACCTTAATAAACTGAAACGTACATGTTTTTAAGTTCGTCCACATCTCTAACACGTGAAACGAACATATTTATCACGTTTGTTTGGACGTACACATGTACATATGTGTGCAGTTTATTTTACCTGACTGCATTAGGTAGATATTTATAGGTTGAAAGTGCCACGCATGTTGCCGTCGCCGGTGATATGCCTAAGTAATCAATCTTGGTTACAACTAACAACTGTCAAGCACGGAGGTGTTACACTAATGTGCGGATAATGAGCCACTTTCACTAGGTTATCCTACAGCACGGCAACACGGCAAACATTGCCTTTATAATAAATGTACATCAGAACACCACGGATATACCAAAATAACAATGCTACATAACTGCCAGCCAATGTGTATGAGGAAGACGATTGGACTTATATTTGGATTGCTTATTATGTTCATTAAGCCTTATTTTAAACTTTCAGCAACATGTTTATAGTATTTTTCAGTAACTTAGTTATTGTTTGAAAATGTTTATGGTTTACTTTTCAGTAATACACATCTGATTTTAAGGGAAAAATCAGATGTAAAAAAAACTATATTTGAATATTTTCTGTCAGTAATTAAAGTGATTGAAGTTGATAAAAGTTACTTATTTAGTTACCGTTGTAGGCCAAAGTTTTGATCATCAGTTGACTTGTAAATATTCATATATTGTTTGCATAATGTATATACAATAGGCTGTTTGCTATTCATGGAGCAAGTTGTAATGCCAAGACCTGATTAACACTTTTCTTAGTTCAAAGTTTTAACAATTCTTGCGTATAGTTTTAATTAGGTTTTGTCCCGGCTGTTTGAGCTTATTTCACCATCTTTAATGAGGAAAATTATGTTGATGTGTTCTTACACGTTGAAATCAACAATTATATTTAGTGAAATACTAATTAAAAACTTGAGTGCAAAAACAAAAATGAAAAAGACTCAGCGGGTAGGTTACAAAAAGATCAGTCCTCGTTTGTGCTGTCTTTGCACACAGCATCCCTTCTACAATGAGACTGCTTGATATATCACTTTCCAGTTGCTCACAAAAACTCACTGGTTCTCTCTGCAACTCGGTTCAATAGATAATTACTGAAACAGCGCATTTAAATCTGCGCTGTTTAAGTAAAACTAAGGGTTAACAATGCCACTTGAACACAATTAATCGGGACTGTGATTTATATATAGTATAAATGTATCATCATAATACTTTAACTAAACTACTCTGATTTACAATCCTGATTGTTCAAAGCATAAATTTACCATGCCGAATTTAAACATAGTTTGTTCTATAGCATCAATTTTTCTTTTTCTTTTAAATAGCAAGATGAGTAAAATTTATTTTTTTATATTTTGACTTAAGTAGCTGTCATTACTTGCAATGCTACATACAGATGTTTTGTCTTTGAAACCTTTAACATAATTTGGTTTTATGAGAGTCAACATTTAAAATTTCTTAGTAAAATATACTACCAATGCCATAATGTTTTCATTTGAATTTGATACAATTTGTTTGAGATTTATTCTAACTGGCAAGTCAGAACTAATTTCCCTTCTTGGAGCAGTTTGTTCGAATGGGGTTATTATTTTTAATCTACCATTTAATCCTCCTGACTTTAATATCTTGGCGGCATTTGTTCTTTAACTGATCTCCTTATTTCCTTATTCATTAGTTTTAATCGCAAGCCTTAAATAGGAAATTAACAATAACAAAATCTGTTAGTTTGATGCTTCAGCTTTATAAATTATCAATTATTATTTGATTAATCAATCAAACAATTTATTCAATACAATAATTTCGTGCATAAACCACAAATGGTATGTTTGCTGTAAAAAATATTGTTACTTATATTACTTTACAATTTTGCAAAGTCGAATCAGTAGTAGTAGCATGAGCATAGTATGAGTCCTTTACTATCACTTGGGCAATTAACAACAATTTCTTTGAAGACAAAAACGATAAAAAATATCTGTATATATGGTCAATATATTAATAAACTTAAAAATTTTACTTGAAAGGCTGTGTGGCTAAGATATTATCAAATTAAAATTGTAATATGACACACATATAATCTAAATTATCAATCTTTCTAAAACTAAGACAGATTATTACAACAGAACTTATATTGATTAATAACCATGGAGTAACTATACTAGATCTGCAAACAGAGAAAAAATATATACATTGGGATTTGTTCAGCAAATAATAAACAATTATCAATTATTTAAGATGGGGACGCCACTATGTGCGTATAATATGTGGATACAGGTACTAGTGTTGATCACGCTTAGTATCCAGAAGTGTGATGTATGTGTGTTTGTTGTAGGCAACATCAAGACGGCCGCAGTGCTGGACACAGAGACCAAGGCTCACTATTGGCTGACTGTCTACGCCCAGGACCATGGAGTCGCTCCACTCACCACCAGGCTAGAGGTATGTTTGGTACTAAGGAAATGGTCATGTAATTTCGCTAAGCACTTAGTAAATGATTTCTTGTCAATGCAATGGCAGATTAAAGTTTATTAAACCTAAAGAAATACTTTAAATTTTAATTTTAAAGGGTTCAAATCTGGAATCAGTTGCTAATAGTTGCTATTATGAACTTTTGATCCTGGAAAAAAATAATCTGATCCAGGTTTTAATAATATTTTATTGAATTCAATTTTTTTACGGAATATGTTCAATTATGTCCAGATGAGAATTACGTACAAATCAATTTATTGTATCAATTTATTATTATTGATTATGTACTCATTGTGCATATTATATGTGTTATATTATAGTATGTGTAATCAATTTTGTTATAGTCATAATAGGTTTTGTTTTAGATAATTTTAAAGGTGATAAATTTGTTATTCAGTAGGAAAACTTTGCCAGCAATACAAAATCTGGAAAACATAGCCACCAATACAAGATATTGTGCGCATTTATAAAATGTGTGGTTGTATTTTTAAGGTTTAATTTTACTACTGTCAAACAAGATCTACAAGATTAAAATATTAAATAGTTTGTTAATGAAAATTGCAAATTTAAAATATTTGTTGAATTTTATGTATCATATTGTATATATCGTTTAGGATATACATGACAACAGGTCCATTTCAAATATTGTTTATACCATTGCACCACATAAAGAAACATTTTTAATTTATTGATCGAGAAATATGTTGTCCAAACAAAGTTCATACTAAGATAAAACAGTGCAATGGGGCTGCAAAAGCCTGTTTAAGTTCTGAGCTGTTTAAAAGGAATAATGTTCCTTTGAGAGTCACAAGTCGTTGTTTAAGGCACGGCGATGGTTGCCAAGTTTTCTCATTACAACTTCTGAATGATTTGCGATCCTAAAAAATTGTTAGGCTATTTGATCTCAGCTGTAAGCTTAATACAACCAAATCTTGTATACAAATGGTCTTTTACCTAGCCTTAAATGTAGTCATATAAATCATAAAATGGCCAATTTATTAATCAAATCTCCTACTGCGCCTTGAAATAAGCAAAACTGGATGTTTTTCTGTAATTAGAGAATTCAGACAGAGATTTATTACCACAAAGTTTCATGGTGAATGAGGATGACGATTATTCTACGAATTATCTTACTTAACCATTAATTATATCTATGACCCATTGAACATAATTCAACTAAACATTTTTTCCAGTTCTATTGATAGACAGAATATGTATTTGAATATACATGCAAACAAAATATTAATTAAAGTCAATATTGTTATTAATTTTGTATAAAACATGTTTTTCATGTAATTTACAAAATTAAATAACATTAATTTTGATTACGGCCAATGTCCACTCACGTAATTCTATTGGTAATTGACTTTATAGATCAACAACAACAAATAGTGTGGTGCATTAAGTGTTAAATCAGTGAATGGAAGCAGTTAAAACAATGATTTAGTTAGTTTAACCATGATTATCCTGCAGAAGTACAATTTTAAATGCTTACAGTAGGCTATAAATTCAATACACATTTTATTCAGTTGGGTAATTGAACTCCTATATAGCATCGCAGGGGAAATCTACCCACAATGTTGGAAAGATAGTTTCCTATAGATGTGCAGAATCCCTTTATAAATTAAAATAGGCAAAAATATTTATTTGCTGTGCACAACAAATAAATTTAAAAAATTAACGTGGCCCTTAATGCCATCCTGGCTATGAAATAACAACGCAATATAAACAAAAAACTAAACAAATGGAAGAAATTACAATCACATGTTTTATTTACAGCATAGGGTGGAAATATTTAAGTCTGTACATAACATATTTTTGGTGGAGTTTTTTACCTCTGGACAACTTCGCCGCTTAGAAAATGACCTGCGCGCTAATGCTAAACCAATGCTGGAGGAGGTCGCTTTCTAAGCGGCCGAACTATAGTATTAATAATTTGTCTTAAAAACATCTTTATCGTGGTTATCAAAACGTAGGCCTACTTACTAAACAGTTTGTGTAATTTACTTCACTCTCAAGGTGAATGTCCTAGAGTCACTGGATTATGTTTGTGCAAGGAAAGCATAATTTGTAGCAAAAGGAAACTTTAAAAAGGCTCTGAATCAAAAGACTGGCCCCACTTTGATTTGCTGAGTCAGAGCTGCGGCTCAAAGGGTGCAATCAGCGACTTCAGATCACAAGCCCTGATTTGCAGATTTTCACTGCATTACTTGACTCTCTTATGACCCGCTGGGGGTTGCCTTTTTTTCCTTAAGACCACCGAAAATTTGTATAATTGATTTTAAAACCAACAGCATTTAAACATTAACATATTTTTTTTTTGTTATATTATATTAATTTTGTATTTCTTAAAAAGTCTTTGTTGTTTTTCTCAATTACATTAATTTACCTTAAGAAAATCTATACAGCCTTCCCAAGTATACATTTTAAGGTCCCTGCTCAAACACATACTTTTCAAATATATTATGGTCCATTCTAGAAATGTTAGATGTGCATTTTATTGTTGGTTATACATTTTTTTCAAACAATTACAATACCCCTTATAACAAAATTGGTTGTGTATGTATTAAACTTACAGATTTATATTGCACTGCATTTTTCCCATAAACAAAGATTCCACATAATATTATGGCAAAATTTTATTTAAAAGACAACTTAACTGATTTATTTACTTAATTTAAGGTATCAAATCTACTTGAAATGTAACTTACAAAGGAATCTCTTTATCTATCCTCACATATCAAGTTTCAAGTTGTAACTCGTTTATAAATAGATATACTTGGCACCTTTTAATTAACACTGAAAGCATGATAACAAAGTGGAAGTTGCTATGGATAGGATCTTTGACTATTAATCTGTATCCAATAGTCAATGATAGGATTGTAATAGAGTATAGGCATTGTTTTCAACACTACACGGGATCGGACATTCAATCGCTATTCGCTAGCCAACATGATTAGCATTTTTTCAACATACACAATAGTAGAGAATTATTCGTACACTATACTAAATGCAATGTAGGATTTTAGAATATAAAATTTTAAACAATAAAACTCATCAATATGATAGGTCAGGTAAAATTTTGTTGAGCCGATAGAAAGTTCATTTACTTATAATGGAAGTCAGCCAAAGTAATTGATAACAAGTTTGTTGAGGAAATTGAACTGAGATGGCTTGACTTGCTGTTGCCTGCAAGTGTTGGGGCATTAAATTGAATAACTTTGATCCAATAACTTTTATAATCCTCTTCCTACTAGCTTCGAAGTGGTCAATGGACATTTTGGACATTGATTTGAAATAGGTACTTTACGCCACATTTCATAACATACCGTACTAAAAGGATACTTAATAGGTTTCGTCCATCAGTTATTCTTTATTTCTCTTCATAAAAGGTTTGAATAGCAGTAGTGGTATCAGGTGATCCTGGTTTTGGTTAGTTATTCAATGATCGTCACAAACACAAACTTACACTAATGAAAACGTGAATACAGAAACATTTAACACAAATGAGGCCAAGTAATACCAGCAGATGTTAGGTAAGGACTATTTATTTAGTAGCTTTGTCAATAAAGCCATTTTCACAATCCTTAATTCAAACCGTGTTAGGTACATTTAATTTTTACAAATAAACTTAAATTCACATGGTACCCTACCTTTGGTTAAACAAAGCCTTGAGACCTCCCCTTTTTTAATTTTTAATTTTTGCAATGAATGATAAATCTTTATCAGAGAACAACATATTTTTTTTAGAACATAATATTTTTTTTGAAATTAGAAAAAGTATTAGTGTTTTACTTAAACAATGACTCATCTTTATTCAAGTAGGCTCAATACTCTAATTTCAAATAGGCTAAAACTAATGTTATGGTTACTTTTCAATCTTCAGTTGATATTGACTTAGTGTTTAACATTATTGTTTAAAAATGTTGTTATTACTTCAGAAACCTCTGTGTAGCAAAAATTGTATGCGCCTTGAAAATATGTCGCCATGAGAAACTGAACATCATCTATTACAGTCCATGAATAATTCTGAACCGTTCATGAATTATTTACCCCTGTTGAAATATGTTCTGGAGTTTACCGCCAATACTGTGCATGCCGTAAATACCTCTTCTTTGATAACATCCTCATGTTTTATTCATGCTAAATAATTAGTGGTCATAAATATGTGTCTCTGTCCTGTTAAGTGAATTACTAACATTTTTATTAACATTTTTAGCTCTTTTCGATACTACAAAAACACACAATACTATTTTAAATACTAAATATTTATTTTCAACACTATAAAAACATAGTTAAGCGTTAATGACCTAAAACGCACAAAACCCTCAAGGTAATTGTTAGCATCGGCGCCACCTGAGAGAGAGATAAGGTCAAAGGAGTGGATTTTTTTCTTTAAAAAGTGCTCTTATCAAGACAGTTGGCTACTGTACAGTAATCGGAATGCAAAGTAAATTAGACAGAATTAATTGTTTAAAATATGAAAAGTACTAATTTAAATATTGTTAAATAACACTGTGGTATATATATTTTGCATATAGGTATATATATTGTGGGTTCCTGAGATAAATTGGGGGTTGTGGGATCTTAACGGATGATCAAAAAAATCAGAGACTTGCTGCAGCACTAACACTCTTGCTTGGTTTACGTCAAAAGTGGAACCAAGTTTGAAGCCATTGCACGATTTTTCAATCGGCCTTCACTCAAAATACTCCTTTACTGTAAAAATCCCAAACCTAATGAAATTTTTAAAGTGCCATGTACATTTTTGCAAACAAAAATCTGATCACAGGATACACCTCACTCTTGACATTTAAGAGTGGAGAATAAAAATCGTTTATCTATTTGGTGTTGTTATGCAATACATATTATTAAGGCCCTCTGCATAAGAAAAATCTGAAGCAAACTTCAGACACACATGGTCACTAACATACGTGGTCATACATGTACATGGTTGGTACATGGTCAGCAAACTTAGTGTATGCCTACAGAGAACAATATTTTTTGATTGGGAAAGAAATCAATTAATGTCTCGTAAGAACACTTCATTTTCAAAACGTTTCCTGGAGAGAGAGAGACCTGGCCTATTTCCTGAACTCCTGGTAAGTGTAAGTAGGTATAGAGAGAATTGTTGTGTTGCAGGTGTTTATATCAGTGACCAATGTGAATGACAACACCCCCCTAAGTGAGGTCCCGGTCTACTACCCCCATGTGGCGGAGAACTCGCCCGCCAACACCCCCGTAGTCCAGCTGACTGCTACTGACGGAGACATGGACCCTGGACTCTCTCTCACCTACAGGATTACTGGCGGAAACCCGGAGAGCTTCTTCACAATGGACTCTTCCACTGGTAAGTATCAAAGGGAGTTTTACTGTAAAGGTATATTAGATAAGATAGTTACTCAACGATCTTGGTGTACAATTCATATGATTGTTTTAAATTTTATTGGATTTGTTAGTATCCAATAACTAGGAGTACGCTCCGAAGTCGCGTATGAGAATGAACGAAGAAGACAATTCCATGTACATATAATCTGTGTTTGTTCCCTCACCCTGCCCCTGCAGCGCGGCGCGCCGCAAGTTTGTGCGGCGGCAGTGGCCAGACTAACTGCGATTTTTAGCGAATTTCCCATATAGGGAATAAGCTATTACCGTAGTACTCATGGTAAGACCTGGACGCGGGACCGATTTTTTTTTCGTTTTGAGGTCCCTAGAGGCCAAAAACACCATCCGTTCAAATTCATATATATATATATATATTTATTTATATATATATATATATATATGTGTGTGTGTGTGTGTGTGTGTCCGTCAGCACGATAACTCGAGCAAAAATGATCCGATTTTGATGAAATTTGGTACAAACGTGTAAACGTACGTTTATTCGAACGAGTTCGCGATCCAGCATGATCGGACTATGGGAACGGGGGTTTACGGGGGGTTTTATGGGGTAAAAATAGGTTTTTCCCATTTTTGACCCAAAAAACATAAAATTTAGCAATTTCTTTCCAAACCATTTTGTAGAGCTTCAAAAAACAAATAACTTAGTATATTGAAGCGTTATTATGCGCCTAATGGTTACGGAGAAAATTCCAAAAAATTGTAAATTAAAAATTCCCATGTTATTCTTATGGAGAATAAGTAAACTGTTGTAGTTTGCTTGTTTGTGAACATATTTTGATCGAATTTGGGAAATGTTTTTATTTCTTACTAACAATTCACATAAAAAAAAACAGTTTTACCCTCCCTGATGCAGCAAACCTAAGTACTTGTTAAACTAATTCTATATAAATCAAGAATAAATTTTATATTTTTAAGTAGACATTTCAGTGTAAATCCAATCAGTCAAATGGAAATTCGCTTAGTCTGCAGGTTTGCTGCGGCGGGGGTATTTTGTACTACGGGCGTAATGCTCTTTTATTTTAGAAATAATTCTAATGCCGCATATATCTATCCTAAAATCAAATATAAATAGCATAAGCTCTACTTTTGTATATCATAAATTATAACGTCAGTGGTATTTGTTATGTTTTTGACTGGGGATGTTAATCTAAACCTTGGACCTGTTAATTCACAAGGTAATAATTTTTATAGCCCCAAGGCATAAAGTAACTGGGGTCAGTTTGACACTAAAAATTGTCCAACCTAGGGCCCGTGCCCCTGGGCATTTGCCCCCTTAGCCCCCCCTAACGGTGGTCCTGTAATCATGTGACAGAGTGATTAAAAATCATGGGCTGAGTATCACTTCTTTAAATTAATAATGAATTATGAACATATTTTTTGAAACTAACGTATTCTATGATGCACAACTAAATTGTGTGTGACACATGGCCAAATAAGTTGAATGTATTTCAATGTATTACTGTACAGTACCAAAAACATTAATTGCCCTACTCTGCTTAGTAACGGAGTTGTTACTAAGCTACAACTACTTACTATAGCTAGCGAACTATGAAGGGTTCTTGAGGTTTTGTATACAAATTACAACAACACTTTCAGACAATAACACATAAGTTACGGACCCGTCCATACCACGCCATATTATCATCCGAACCGCTAAATGAACCTCAGATTCGTAATTTTAACCTTCTTTTTTCAGCCACTTAGGAATCTCACCGACAAAAACCAATTGCATTTTTGGATTCAGCGTGAAAGAAACTGTGATTAAACATCTAAAAAGTACATCATATCCCAATGATGATATACTAAATAATTGCCGTGAAGTATTTTTTTCGGATTAATACTTAACATTACATATCGGTATTTATCCTATTAAATTTTTGTATTAAAAATATTCTTTATTTTTCCCCGATGTAGCCTAAACATAAAATTGATTAATGGTTAGTTCGGTTTTTGTTTATATTTCATAAATTAAACTACTGTCTAGGACTATAATTTACCAAAGGAAACAAAACAAATAGGCCTAGGTCACCTAATAACAAAACAACTAAGGATAATAAAACCAAATGCTTCGTTAATATTTTTGTTATTTTTTTTTAAATTTATATCATGTGGTATCTTAAGATTTACTCAAATTTGATACGATAGTTAAGTTATTATTTAACCGATTTATAGTTATGTTAGGTACCTTTTTATAAACTCATGAAAAAGATCAAAGTTAACTTACCGTAGCCAATGTCTTTTTTAATTTATCTCTTAAACAAATCATACACCAAAGATTGATGTTGTTTTTTTTAGAAATGCTACCTTTTCTTACCTTTGTTGTTAGGCCTACCTATTATAAACTAAAAAGTAAGATACACAGTGTAAAGAGTATCCTTAAAAAACATGTTAGGCATAAATTGTTCAATATTGAAAGAGACCTAGACCTACATGATAAATGGATAAAGGTAAGTTGCATCACCTAGAAATTAACTGATTACGATATTTTATAGCCTAAAATTATAGGCTAGGTATTTTATCGTAGGCTAGGTTCCCTGCGAAACTGTCCCCCTGAAAATGGGTTTAACTTAACCTAAGTAGGCCTACTAAGGACACAGGTCTAGTAGCTAGAAGAAAGTTATACATTACCTTTTTAGGTCTAGGTAGGCTTATAAAGGCCTATTTGCTTGATTGGATTTACACTAAAATGTCTCCTTAAAAATATAAAATTTAGGCTAATACCTATTTAAATTCAATTAGTTAAACGAGAACTAAGGTTTGCTGCAACAGGGAGAGTAAAAAAGTGTTTTTTGTTGTAGGTTACCTAAAATGTTAGTAGTTTAGTAAGAAATGAATGTATTTTCAGATATTCAACCATATACAAAGCACTTTGATCAAAATATGTTCAAAAACAAGCAAACTACCGGTAGGTACAACAGTTGAATTATTCTCCATAAGAATAATATAGCTATTTAAAATTTACAATTTTTTGGAATTTCCTCCATACAGTAACTATTAGATGCATGATAACGCTTCATTATAATAGGCCTACTAAATTATTTGTTTTTTTAAGCTCTACAAAATGGTTTGGAAAGAAATTGTAAAATTTTGTGTTTGGTCAAAAATGAGAAACCCCTATTTTTACCTCATAAAACCCCGTTACTATAGTTAGATCATGCTGGTTTGCGAAAATAAATGTAGGCCTAGCCTAGGTTTACACGTTTATACCAAATTTCATTAAAATTGGATATTTTTTGCTTGTTATTGCTTACCGGTAGGGCCTATAGGTTAGACCTAAGTTATTAAAATTCATCCAACCGAATCATATGATCTTAGCCTATTATAATTTGATAAAATATCGCAGGTTTTAGCGGAACTCCACCCATGCCTAGGCCTACTAACTTAAATGAGAAATTCTGAGGTTAACTGACTTTTAGAACACTCGTTACATAAGTTTAAACTATTTATAGATTCAGATGAGCTACGAATGCCTTAAACCTAACTTAGGCCTGCATGTAGTAGGCTTTTTACAGAAACTTGACTGCAGACAGATAAGTTAGGTCTACCTAACTTAACTCACCCTAGGCCTACTTAACCTGGAGTTTCCTAAGTTAGGCCTAAGTTAGGCACAGAAACGGATTGCAAAACACAGACTCTTCTTGGCTGCACTTAAGTTTAAACATCCTACACTAATTCGAATGAAAAATATTGATAGGCCTAAGATACAAATTATTTGATTATATCGATTACTGTAAGTATTTCATTCTGTTAACGTAGTTAACTTACCAAACTTGATATAAGTTATCGAATGGAATAATCGATAACTTATACCCATCGATATTCATTCGAATGAGTGTAGGACGTAAACGAAAGTGTAGCCCTCCTCATATCTTAGGTAGGCATCTTACAGTCATTTAAGTTAATGTTAAGTTAACTGTTTCCCTAGAAGCGCGTCGGAAGACGTTGTTAAATCGCCTTTTCGCACTCCGCGCCTAGGAAAACCCGGCTTAAGGCCACAGATAGGCTAACTTATCCAAGTTAAAGGTTGGAATAAATTTGTCTATTAACTTAGGCCTAGGTCCTTTAACTTAAGCTAATTAAGTTAGACTGTAGAAAAGGCTAAGGTAGGCTAGGCCTATTACCTTTGATTGCAGGCTACCCTAACTTCATAGGGAACACTCTGTCAGTTACACTTGATAAGTTAGTGTAACTAAGTTAAGTTAAATAGCTTATAACTTACCGGGGGTACAGTTTCTTAACTGGGCTATGCTAATATTGATTGAAACTATCGAATTGAAAATAGGCCTATTGATAAATAATCGATATTTTAAAACATTTTTATCATAAAATAAAAGTATTATAGCCTAACCTAACCAACCAAACTTGCTGATGATGAAAAAATCGCATTAAGGTTTACTAATCGAATCGATAGTTTCAATCAGTATTAGCATAGCCCAGTTAAGAAACTGTACCCCTTACCGGATAACATTAAGTTATAGGCCTAATATTAAATTCAAAATAACACTTGTAAGATCATAACTTATCTCAATAATGACAGGAATTTAAGTTCCTTCTTCCTTGCTTAGTCTCTAACCAATGACCATGGCTCCCTCAGTTCCTAACCTAGATCTTGTGTTTGCCAATGACAACTTTACTAACAGTCACAAAGATAGGAATAAAGTGAATTAACTCTTACACCCTAACTACGAGGAGTAAGTGAAATGATTGTATAAAAATTTTTACTATTTTATTTTACAGCCCAACATTAACAACAATAACAAATACACACCCAACGCCCAATAGAAAACACAAACAACAGACGACGTAACTTAACCATTACTTAACCTATGTTTGAAAAAAAAAACTCTTAAAAAAATCTGATTGGCATAGGCAGAGTATGCTATAACAATAATGTTGACAATTAATAATATAAAAGGCTCAAGACAATGTTAAAACCACTTAAGTTAA